TTATTCAACAAATCATTTGTTAAAATAATTGGAACCGTGAGATCTGCCGCTTCAGTACTTGATAGTTGATATACATAATTATTAAACTTAAGAATTACTAATTTCATGCACTCGAATTTGATGTGTTTATGTGAAACATATACATATATGTTGCAAATCCCAGCCTACATTGTGTGTATATATGATTATGAAGGTGAACTTTAGGTTGGTTTGTTAGAGAAGAAAAAAACATTGGCAACTGGAAACGAACACGCATATATATATATATGTAAACACATGTTTAAATATTTATTTGTCATCTTACCAATGGTGTCACCAGTATAAAATTGAGTATTCGATTTTACCCAGCTTTTTACAGCAGCACCACTTTTCCAAGGCACATAATGAGTCGTCGTAGGTGGAACCCAGATGCCGTGACCCAACTGAAACAGAAAAATCATCATCAACAGGAGCGTGTGCGTGAGCGTCGCACCACTACTCATCATCCTCTTCCCGGTCATATTCTTCACAACAACAAATGGATTCAAAAAAACAAAATATATAGAAAAATGTGGTTATATATATGCAGCTGAAGATGGAGTAGTAATAGTAGTATTTATAGGCACGCCCGCGGCCGCTACAGAAACTACCCTTTCTCATTTTCCTCTTTTACTTTTGGTTTGTAAGATTAGAGAATTGGGGCAAGAGAGTGCGGTCCCACCAGATTAAGCGCACCATAAGAGGGTGAGCCTAGATGCACCTTAGTGGGGTTCCATCCCAAAACCAATTGGTGATGGGAGGAGTAGCCCACTAGGCTTATATACTAGACTCATTTTCCCTATAGATTCAATGTGGGACAACTCACAAGTGATACTCCAACACGCCCCCTCACTTGTGAGTCCTTCATAAGCCCAAACCCAGAGCAGGCCGGGTAGAGATAGAGACCCAGGCCAAAGTTGGCCGGCTAGAGATAGAAACCCAGGCAGGAGTCGACCTGGCTCTGATACCATGTAAGATTAGAGAATTGGGGCAAGAGAGTGCGGTCCCACCAGATTAAGCGCACCATAAGAGGGTGAGCCTAGATGCACCTTAGTGGGGTTCCATCCCAAAACCAATTGGTGATGGGAGGAGTAGCCCACTAGGCTTATATACTAGACTCATTTTCCCTATAGATTCAATGTGGGACAACTCACAAGTGATACTCCAACATGGTTATATTGAAAAATGTAGCCATACTTAATCATTACAACGAGTACCTTCTTTTTCTTTGTATTTTTTTATCATTTTTTAAAGGTGACATTTTTTATTCACTGTCTAACACACACACACACACACATATATATATATATATATATATATATATAGAGGTAAGGGATCATATGAGAATGACTCACAATGAAAGAAATGAGAATGAATTTTGAGCATTAGATCTACCACATGAATGGTTATGATGAAGTCAAAAGTAATTAAAAATAGTCAAATTCGCGGTGGCATAATTGTAAATAATTGAACATTGTTGGATAAAATGTAACAATTCAGGACAAATATGTAATTTTGACCCATCCTCAAACCAGTGGACCCCACCCATAATTATAGCCACACCTCTCTCCTCTCTCCTCTATCCTCTCTCTCACGTCCTCTTCTATTTGTCCCTCTCTCTTCCCGACGCCGCCAGATTACCAGCTCCGCCATAGCCCAGCTGCTCCACCATCTCTACCGGTAGACTGCCATCGCCCATGTTCTCCGCCTTCCGTCGCCAGTAACACCATTCCCGTCGTCAACCTGCACACACACACTTGCGGCGGTGGACGGAGACGTCGAGCCGATTGACAAATACGAGGCGACGAGGCGGCGAGGCGGCAGACGGAGGCTAGGTGGGTGCGTGTTGTGTGTGAGTCGAGGCTGGCGGTGTGGTGACTGTCCGAACGGCCGGAATTTAGGCGTTAATCTTTCAGATTTTGGAAAAAAAAAATATTCAGGGAGTGTTTTGTGTGAGTTGGGCTTTTCATATGAAAATTAGATTAACTATAGGGCCAATTTGTAATTTTTAAAATCTTTAATTATAAATTAATATAATTAGTGATTTATATAATTTACTAAAAAACTAATAAATATAAAATATTGATAAATA